TTACAGCTTCACTGCCTAAAGGTTGTAAGTTCAAGATTACCTAGAGGTGTCTGGAAAGAAAGACTTGACAATATACTTCTGAAAAAATCAGCCATATGTAGCATAGTTCTACTCTGACACACATGGGGTTGCCATAAATTGAATTTGACTTCATGGCACCTTTATTGATTGATTGATTGATTGATTGTGATTTGGGTGAAAATTTACAGAGCAAATTCACTTTCCATACAGCAGTTTACATATACTTTGTCTCATGACATTGATCACAATTTACCACAATACAACAGCTCCCCTCCTACTTCCTCCCGACAGTCACCTCTTCCCTGTGTCCATCCCTCTATGCACCCCTGCACCCTGAGCTTGTCTCCCTGTGCATAAACAGCCCTTCTTTCTCCCATGATTGTTCTCTCCAAGGAGTGCATTTACCTCAGGTAGATGTTCAGCTCCTACGCCTGTCTTTTGCTTGGCTGGAAGCCACAGGTGTAGTTTCAATTCTGGACCTGCAGGACAGCTAGGGGCCATAGTCTCAGTGGTTCCACCAAGCTCTATCAGACCAGCAAACCTGGTACCCCCTTTGTTTTTTCTATATGCTTTTGTGTTTTGTTCCACATTGTTCTTCCTCTCTATCCAGGGTCTCCTACATAGATTCCCCTCCAAGTGTTTGACATTGGTAGCCAGGCACCATCTAGTTCTTCCGGTCTCATAGTCGTATAGGCTGCAGATCACATGGTATACCAGTCACTAGGACTAATTGTTTCCATGAATCTTGGTTTTCTTCATTTTTCTTTGCGCTGGATGAGGAGAGACCCATCGTTGCATCTAGATGGCTACTTGCAGGATTATAAGATCCCAGTTGCTACTCACAAAGTAGGAGGTGGAACAATGTTTTGTGTAGTATGTTATGCCAATTGAGCTTGATGTCCCCTGTGACTATGGTCCCGAGCCCACAGGTTCAACTACTCGGTCCCTCTGGGCAGCTGGCTGTGACAAAGAAATGACTACAACCTTGTCCGTTGTTGGTTCAACTATATACCTGGGAATTCAGAACATACAAATACACTTATAGGACCATTGTCTTCCAACCCTATACATGGTCTTGGGTACACTCTTCACTTCATAGACATACCTAATAGTTCAGCCTGTCCACCCACCTATCCACCCGTATACCCATGTTGCTTTCACTGACAGTGAGTACTGTATATGCAAAGGGTTCATTGTTGTTGTGTATACCTCCCATGTACCTCTCTATGTCTTCCTCCATGGCACCTTTAAAAAAAAAAATCATTAACAATATATTATTATGAACTCTGACTCAAACATCTGTTCTAAAATATTGAAACCCATTTAGTTTATTAATGTGAAATAGTAATGTCTCAGTTACTGTGGTGGTTAAGTTTGTGTGTTAACTTGGCTAGGCCTGGTTGAGTGGCTGGGCAGCTGGATGTAGTATTCCCTGTAATGAGACTGGTAATCAACTCCATGGTGGAATCTACTAGGAGCAACTGAGTAGCTGCCTTTGAGTATGTGGTCTGGTTCCCATATATAAGAAAACAGCTTTGGGAATAGTCTCTAGCTTATGGCATGCTTGAACCCTGCATGTAGCCGTGTCATTATTCAGCACCCTGCCATGCTCTGCCGACTTGGGGACTTTCAATGGACTTAAATTAATGGCCTGCCATGTGGTTTGGTAAAATTGGGACTGTGCCTTTTTACTTGTCAACCTTGGGTTTGTCAGTCTCAGCAGCCAGCAGCTGTCTGAGTGAAGAGAAGCCTCTAGCTCCAGTGGGCTGGGAGCAGGAGGCAGAGCTGAAGGCCAAGGTTGAGGGGCTTTTTACCCAGCCCCTGGAGCCTGGCACTTTAAACCTGGACTTAAACCCTCTAAATTGTAAGAATAAACTCCTGTTTGTTTAAGCCATCCCATTTATGGTATATTCTTGTCAGGTATATATATTTATGGTATATATCTTGTCAAGTCAATGGCTTTCACACTAAAAATTATTGTCTCACAGGTTAGGCAGCTGGAAGTCTGAATTCAGGGTGCTAGCTCTCTGGGTAGCATAGTGCCTAAGGCACTTAACTGCTAACCAGAAGGCTGGGGGTTCAAACCCACCAGCCACTCCTCAGAAGGAAGGTTGGACAATGTATTTCCATAATGATACTGCCTCGGAAACCAAGGAGGGGTCGCTATGAGTCAGGTCTGACTCGACGGCAAATAACAACAGCTCTCTGGGAAGGCTTTCTTCTCTGTCAGCTGTGGGGAAAGGTCCTTGTCTCCTTTCAACATCTGTGGGTCTGGTGTTCCTTGAAGATCTTCATGTTTTTTGCATCGGTCTTCCCCTGGGTCTAGGAGGTTCTCAGTGCAGGGACCCAGGTCCCAATCCTTCATTCTTGGTGGCAGTCAAGTCCCTGCCTCTCTGCTTGTTTTTCTCCCTCTTGTAAGATAAAAGGTGATAAAGGTGTGGATCCAGGCTGTGGCCTGAGTAAGGTCGGTGACTTAAGTAAACCTAATCCTACCTCATTAGCATTTTATTAACATTTTATTAACCTCTTTGTTGTTGTTAGGTGAGATTGAGATGGCTCTATCAACCTGATGTACAGTAGAATGTAATAGCCAGGTCCTGGACCATCCCCAGAATCTTTGCTGTGCTTGAGCCCACTGTTGCAGCCACTGTGTCAATACATCTCATTAAGGGTCTTCCCCTTTTTCTGCTGACCCTCTACTTTACCAAGCATGACATCCTTCTCCAGGCACTGTCCCTTCTGACGCTATGACCAAAGTACAGAGACGAAGTCTGGCCATTCTCACTTCTAAGCATCATTCTGGCTTTACTTTCAAGACAGATTTGTTCATTCTTCTGGCCAACCAAAACCAAACTCACTGCCGTCGAGCCGATTGTAACTCATAGTGACCCCTCCTTGGATTTCCGAGGCAGTATCTCTAGGGAAGTAGATTGCCTTGTCTTCCTTCCGAGGAGCAGCTGGCGCGTTTGAACCGACAGCCTTCTGGTTAGCAGTCAAATGCCTTAGGCACTACACCACCAGACCTCCCATTCTTCTGGCAGCCCAGAGTATTTTCAGTATTCTTCACCAACATCACAATTCAAATGCAGCCTTCCTTATTCATTGTCCAGCTTTCACATGAATATGAGGTGATTGAAAATACCAAGGCTTGGGTCAAGGGCACCTTAGTCTTCAAAGTGACATCATTGCTTTTAAACACTTTAAAGACGTCTTTTGCAGCAGAGTTGCCCAATGCAATACATTATCTGATTTCTTAACTACTGCTTCCATGAGCACTGATTGTAGCTCCACGTAAAATGAAATCCCTGACAACTTAAATCTTTTCTCCATTAATTGTGATGTTTATTTGTCCAGTTGTGAGGATTTGTGTTTTATGTTGAGGTATTATCCATACCGAAGGCGATAGTCTTTGATCTTCCTCAGTAAGTCTCTTTGATGTACCCTAATCCTGCCTCATTAACCGTAGGCAGGGGGTAGGATTTGCAACAAATCAACAAATTTCAAAATGGAGGATAATCAAGCAATATCGAAAATCATCGGCCTAGCCAAATTTGACATATATTTTTGGGAGACACAAGTTGGTCCCTGACAAGTAATAAACTTAGAATGAAAGGAGGAAATACTTCTTTAGTATTACATAAAATTTACTGTTTTGTAAATTTACAATTTACAAATTTACAATTCTGTTTCTATTTCATACAATGTTTTCTACTTGCTATTCTTCCCTGAGATTTTCAAAGTAATTTAAACTGAGTTGTCATATTTTCTTTCTTTCTTTTTTTTTATTAGGATTTGGGTGAAGATTTACAGAGTAAATTCACTTTTCATACAGCAGTTCACATATACTTTGTCTCATGTCATTGACCAAAATTTACAATGCAGCAGCTCCCCTCCCACTTCCTCCCCATAGTTACCTCCTCCCAGTGTCCATCCCTTCATACTCTTCTGCACCCTGAGCTATCTCCCTGTGCATAAGCAGCCCTTCCTTCTCCCATGATTGTTCTCTCCAGGGCGTGTGTCTACTTGAGGTAAATGTTTAACTCACATGCCTGTACTTTGTTTGGCTGGAAACCACAGTTGTGGGTTCAATTCCAGACCTGAAGGGCAGCTAGGGGCCATAGTCTCAGTGGTTACACCAGGCTCTATTGGACCAGCAAACCTGGTCCCCACCTTCTTTAAGTATTTTCTTTTTACGATTTCTTTTATTTTTGTTGTTGTTGAGAATATATACAGAATACACACCAACAGTTTCTACATTACAATTCAGGGTGTTGATTCAAGTGGTGCAACCATTCTCACGTTCTCTTAGTTGTTCCTACCTCATTAACTTAAATTAAGTGCCCTCTAGGGTTCCTATCTAATCTTTCAAGTTGTTATTAATTTGATGCCTTACAGATAGTCCTTAAAAGAGCACTATATTCAAGGTAGACATTCTGACACACTGCCTTTCTCAGGTTGGGCTCTCTTTCCCTCCTTCCCGGAGCCCCGCCTCCTGCCTACCAGAGGAGCTGGGCCGAAGCGCCACGAGGCCCCGCCCCGCCGCGACTGCGCTCTCACGAAGCGGCGGGATGGTTGCGCGCTGACACCTGGCGGCGGCGGTAGGCGGGCCAAAGGCGAGCGTGGATTGCGATTGGCTGCGGCAGCGTGAGGGGGCGGGAGAAAGGAGGGGAAACGGTTGTGTGGCTCTTGCCTCCGCCGGAGCCTGGGCGGCCTGAGGGGTGCGGAGACACGGGGAGGGAGACAGCAGCAGCATGGCGGCCGGGTACAAGCCGCCCTATTCTCTTCTTACCCGCTGTCGTCGCCGCCGTCGTCGAGGTCGCCCGGAGCCTTTGGTCTCCCTGTGTTAGTAGTAAGCCCGCTGCTCACGCACCAGTTTTCTGGTCCACCGGCAGTGCTTTTGCCGCCACTGCCAGCCCGAGGGTCACGTCGGCCGTGTAAGGCGCCCTCACTCCTCATCCACCAGCCTGCGGGCGGGGACCATGGAAGACGTGAAGCTGGAGTTCCCCTCCCTGCCACAGTGCAAAGAAGATGCCGAGGTAAGTTAGTGTCCAGAGACTGCCACACACAGGCCTCCTGTTGTGGCTTCTCGCCCGAGGGACGACCCCAGGCCCCAACCGTCGAAGTCTCTAGCTCTGCCGGAGCCTCGTCTCCTGAGGGCGTTCCGGGACTTCTGGGCGGAGCTTCCCGCCCTGTCGCCTTCGGTTCTGACCCTGGCCGCCACAGTTCCTCTTAGTGTCCTGAAACCCCAGCTGGAGGGGCTTGGTCTTGTCTGTTTAATTAGGTGCTATGAGGGGAAGCAGTCTCTTCGCCCCTAGAGTTGGGGTCGAGTTCTTACTTGGAGGAAAGTGCTGCCTTATAGCCAAAGTAATACGAGGGTCAAGTTATTTTTTATTCTCAACTTGAGGGATATCATTGGTGTCAGTGGCTCACTGGTGGGACACCTGTGCCTTCACTTGTGCAATACACTCGGGACTTGAATTTTGTAAATGGGCCTTCGAAAAGTTTCCCCGTTTGGTTGATTGGTTTGTTGAAGTAAGGCTATATGTTCAGCCAAATGAAATGTCATAAAGGTAGCCCATTTGAATCAATCTGAACATTTCAATCAGAAATCTTACCCTTTGGTGGGAAGTTAATATTGAGAGTTTAATTCTTTATACATCGGTCTCCTTATTTCTAATTCAGGGTTCTTCCACCTTACTAACCTACTTGATGTTTTAATTGGAATCCCCCCCCATCTATTGCTAGTTTAAAATACTTTATGGTGTAGCAGACGACTGAATTTGAATTGTCTGAAGGTTGATGAGTAACAGAGATACTGAACATAATTGGAAAAATCAAATAAAGCTGTAACTTTAAGAGATTTCTATTTATACTGAATATTTGTTCTGTTGAGTACCTTCAACTGTGGTTCACATTTTTTATTTGGAAGGAGCACTTACTTGTAATGATACATGTTTTAAGAGTCTACTCTTAATAAGAAAAAGAAAGTCGTATTTGGGTTCGCTAAAAAAAATTGTGTTTTCATAATCCTCTAAACGATTGAGAAATTTCAGAAAGAGCTGGAGGCAACCTTAGATAGAATGTAGAGCCTTCCAGCATTTCAGGTGAGGAAATTGAGGCTTACTGAGAATAACTGATAATGTCAGAGCACTGCCATGACACAAGACACAATGAGGATCTTGGTCTCCTGATTCCAAATGCATTTTACTTATTAATACATCTCAGTTCTTTCCTGCCTTAGTCTTAAAAGTTCTAGTTTAAAATGTTTTTAGACTTTGTATTGAAATCTTTTACTGTGCATATATCTTTGTAAAAGTTAAACGTTATAAGTTAAGAATGTTATAATTTTATAATATAAATAGAATATAAAATTGTGATTTGGGTGAAGATTTACAGAGCATATTCACTTTCCATACAGCAGTTCACATACACTTTGTCTCAT